TTATTTTAGAACCACTATTCATGCAGTTCAGTGGTATAAATTTGGTTGACTCACTGTCAATATAGAAAAATTTTAACAATCGCATGTACGTCTGTATTTTGCGATGAAGGTTCATCTGTGGTTATTGCAAAAACGATTTTTGGTGGTCACATTGTTTTGGAATGATCTGACTTCTCCAAGGTACATGATGCGTACATGTTCAATGAATTAAGCAACTATTAAGAACGTTTTGTAGCACTGTTATTGCAATAATATTCTTGTATTGTTTGGGAGGTAGGAAAAGCGATATGGTAATTTGGGTTTAAGTCCTATCAAAAAGAGCCCCCAAGCGTCACTATAGTTGTTAGGTTAGTACTACTTATTGTGTTACTTTTAGATATTTTTGTTTATTCCCACAATCTACGATACCACTTTTATATTGATTTTAACTCAAAAATACAGTGTTACTAACGACTCTCCAAGACGGGACAATTGTAATACAAATCTATAGGTAGTCGTCCAAGAACCGAGTTTAAAAGGCATTAATTTCGTCCTGGTTACTCGTCCATTTTTAAATTATTCTTAAGATATTGATTTTTGAAACCAGTAGTTTACATGTAAGTTGTTTTTTGTATTTTGGAAATCACGTTGTGAACTTTTTTTTAATTTTAACTTTGATACATTTTGTGACTGCAATACTGACCAGGCCTCGTTTTCAAAAGGTGAAATCGTAAGTGTATATAGAAAGAAGAGGAAGTACAGATAAGGCGGGAAAGTCCTATGCTATTTATGATTATAAGGTGAAGAAAGACTTACAATTTTTATTAAACATGAATGAAAGGTGTAGATAGTTGTAGTATACATATTAGTGAATACATCATATATTACTTTTAAGCAACAACGTTGTTTTAAGTCGATCTTGGAAGCAGGTCTTCAAGAAGAGTAACAGGAAGTATGACAGCTAGGGAGTAACATGTAAAGAAATACGTGTTTGATTTATGGCAGGATATTTGTATTAAAGTGTACATTGCAGGAATACGTGATAAGCAATTTGTGAGAAACTAGCAGGAACTAAGCAATATCAAACATGGTTAGAGTAACTGATACAAATTGACACAAGGGCTTAACGGTTAAAGTAGCCGAGCAGTTTCTTTAAGTAATAATACTAATTTTATCAGTGCATAGCATTGTCGATTCCTTTTTTCACTTTTTGAAAATTGAAATGATAATAGAATAATTTGACTCAAACCATTTCAAATCGATGACTCAATACTGCTTTGGACTTTCGAATTTTCAAACAGAATGATTTGGCCATTTTGACCATAATATTATTGGTAACTGGCAGATTAATGGCACTAGGGTTGCAAAACGTTTAGACACAAATGTTTGTATGTTACCTTAGTTTGTAATTGACTTTTAACAGTAATGTAAATCACTTATCTATGCACAAAATAGGTGGCACGTAGTAGGCCATAGTTTGTGATCCCATTGGTAACGATTTCTTTACTCTAAAACACTTTTTAATGACCTACATGTTTATGATATGTCACAGTGTGTAGTGCAGTCATGAATATACACCATTACATCAAAAAGTGAGCAAAAACAGAACATCGACTAGAATAGGAGTCATAATCACTATTAATGACATTGCTATCATACATAATATAGAACTCAATCTTTGCTCATTCAGGTAATGATATCAATAGGAAAAATATTTAATGATGCAGTGGAACTCTGTTATTTCAGGAGGAGCTTTGTCAAAACATATAAACAATTTGATATGATGTACAAAGCTGACTTGAAATATAAGTTAAAGGGGGGAAAACGCCAAAAGAGTAATATTAAATCATATAGGACAAGGATAAAATTAGATCCTAAGATTAAGACGAATTACAATCTCATTCCCAGAGGCTGCGATCCTTTCGGTTATCAACAAGAATCAAGACTTCTGGGCGAGCCAATATAGTTAGTCACAGTGGTTACTTGCTCTACACATGTTCAAAAACCATTTTTAAGTTTATTAGTTTGGCCCTATGCGCACAACCAAACCCAAACCAAAATTTTCTGGTTTCAGTTTTTGATTTTGTCCAGAGCATCAGGTGTTTGAACACGGGTACAGGCTATGGGGATGAGATTGTCAAATTACAAATGATGAACCATGCGAGAAAGTAGTTCCTTTACACAGGGACATATTTTGTGCAAAGTCCTGACTGAACATTTGTATGGGCCAAAGATGGCCATGACAGAGATGTAAATCATCATATTACATAGCAGCAATATGATCAAACTTCCAGGAAGCAGGCAGCCTAGGGACCATGAGAAAGTGTCGTCTTAAGAGAGGTGTCTGAGACCATGTTAACTGTCTGTTTTAAAAAAGGTTTCTGCCTCCATGGTGCTCACTATTACAGTTTCAACGGCATTTTTGTTTGTTACGTGACTGGACTTATGTTTAAGTCGGAAAAAATGAGAAGTATTGGCGAGAGTCTGGCATAACACAGAGTTCCACTGCAGTCCAAGTTGTGCTAAGTGAGATCCATATCAAACTTCATCGTGAATATTTTCATTTTAACAGTTATTACAGTCATTTCAGGTGAACTTATTTATTGAATATTAATTTATTAGACTTGATATTTGACTATTTCATATTATTTGAATATTGATTGCTTGATTCTTGGAATGCAACTCAGAATCAACCGTAGCAGAATGTGCACCTTATATATAAATTATAAATGACGATTGCACTGTATGTGATTGAAAGATGGGAATATGATTCTCCCAATAAATTTGGATTTTCGACTTAGAGCAGGTTTCTTTGTCTTGTGATTGTCAATTAGGAGAAATTGGTGTGGAAGTGGTTATGCGACGATTACACACGGGAGTGTTGCCTATGCAAGTCATGTTGTCTATTGTTATTTATGAAAGCTGTAAGGCTTTGCAGCCTGTCATAAAAAAATGGCTCACTGTTAGCTTGCATGTTGTATGTTTCTTTTGGTTACTTAAGAGTGTTCTTGTTGTAATTTGACGGGTTGCATATAGCATGCATTCTCCAGATGCCCGCTGAATGTGTGGTCGTTTATCAATGAGATTCTTAGGTGTACAAACGTTCTGTACTGGAAGCAAAGTGTCTGACACATGCATTTTATATCACCACCCTTTGCCATTTTTAAGTTCACCCACTGAGTAACGGCCAATGTAAACCATCCTCTTTACCTTGCAGGAAAAGAGCTAAATGTTAAAGTTTTGTTTCGTTTAATTTTGAACCTGAAACCATTTTTCAACTGTTAGTCAATGGTTTTGAAGGCAAAGTGGACATCTGTAGGAGTGAGGAGTGAAAATGGATAACAAAGAGATCCAGTTATACTGAACAACCACTCCTTCTTTATTTCTATGCAAATGGACATCTGTTTGGGATAGTTGATCGGTAGCCAGCTGCCAATCTGGCCTCGCATTTCTGCCAACGTTGTGAGCTGGTTTCATTTCAATTGAGTTGTGAACACTGACTGTTATTATCCTCATGTCTTTCAATTCCTTTGCATTGTTTGAATACTTTTTACCACAAACGCTTTTCAAATGCAGACATAATCACTCAGTGTCTTTCTAATTTGCCTTACTTACAATATAGACAAACAAAGGACAGAGGCAATTTCAGGTATTACAAAATATTTCTTTTTCTTTTTCTCCCTATGTTAAGGTGGAGGACTTATCGCCAGGGGCTAGAGCTATGTGAACAATGTAATGGGAGGGGTGTTCGGATGGATTATCAGCCGGGAGTTTGGGGGTTTATGATAATTGTGTATCAGACACATCCCTCCCTGCCTTCCCATGAAACTGATTCTTAATTTTTACCCATTTACAGAAGTATCAAATTTCAGAAGATGATTTTGAAGATATGAAATGAGTTGTTTCAAGTAATCATCAACAACTTAAAATCGAAGCAATTCAAAACTTCAAGCTCTGTTTTGATCATTGTTGCTTGAAAGTGCCTTTCTCCTTGTGTTGCATAAATGCACTATCACAAAAACATGAAGTTCTTTTTTTTTTTTTTTGGACGGGGGATGTTTGTGTGGGACAAGGTATTTTGTTTACTCTTACGTGTTGTCTTGATATTAAAGATCCCTACAAAACATTATTCTGGGTCATGGGAAATTAGCAAAAGTGTCATTGATTGTCATAATATTGTCTTTGAAAAGCCCCTTTGTGGGAAAGATAATTTATGTCATGTAGTAAATATAAGGTTGTGTCTGTAGCTACTAGGTATTTGATCACCAATGTTTACAATATGTGACAAATATTGTTTGTACTATCTATTAATTAACTTTTAATTTAATATTCATTTCGTATGTTGAAAGGAACATTGTAGAAAATATTTATAGCAAACATTCTTTCAAATTAATCAATTTTCCTCTGACATGTTGTTAATCTCTTTACCCGTAATATTCACTGACACTGTGACACACATGCATTAGTGGAACTTGTGTTTGTCGCAATAGGACTCAGTCTAAACAATAAATATAATCTGCTGTAATATGTTTTTTGAATTCAAGTATTTCATTACGTTGACTGAGAAACTTGTTGTAATGCTAAATTATTGAGTAACAACTATTTTGAACAATTATAATATAGATAATAGCAAACTTACCTCATTGGAGTAATGGGCCACGTTCGATACATCAGTATTCTAACATGGATCTCTCGGGTCAAAATTGCCAATTGTTTAAGATTCTTTTGTCTCACAATCACAGATTAAAAGAGACTTGGATACATAGAAAACACCACAAAATATAACAGCTTGT